TAAAGAGACTATCTCCTCCCCATGCAATGTACCAAGGCACTTTGTCGAAAATCAGTTGACTGTATGTGGATGGGTTAATTTCTGGATTCTCGATTCTGTTGCATTGATCAATGTATCTTTCATTGTACCAGGCTGTTTTGACCACTGTAGCCGTGTAGTAAAGTTTGAAATCGGGGAGTGTAGGGGCACTCATTTTTATGAGTGGCTTCAATTTCAAAATCCACTCACTTGTCTGGGAGTTTCATATGGAGATTATTTCTTTGTGAAGAGGCCTGCTCTTTTTGAATGAAAGTGGTTCTGGACCTGCTGCTGTCTTAATTTCTGGTGTGTGGCTGCAGAGACATAAACAACGCCATCCCCTAGGTGTTCTTTTACTGCTACGCCCCCCTTGGCCTGAGAGGTATGCATGGGTGTTGAGAGATTGGGCTTGTAGGATTAGGTTTGTAAAGGATGGACTGTGAGCGAGGCAGGCACATGACGCTCTTTTGGCAGCCTGCAACTTATATCTTGCCATCTCCTTTCAGCTAGACACCACCTTTCCATGTCACCACCTTTTCATTCTACCCCTAAAATGTATTTCTTGAACCTGTTAGACCTCCCGTATCCTAAGGCCCCTCCCTGCATGGCACAGTTGGTGCTCCACTGCTAACCTAGACTGGGGTCCTGGTGTGGCGCTACCAGTTAATGCGCTCAACTGCAAAGTCAGTTTGAACCGCAAGGTCGGCGATTCAGGCTCACCCAACTGCTCCTCGGGAACCCTGTGCAGGGTCACTGTGGGTCGGAACCGACTCGACGACACTTAACAACAACTAAACTGAACTAGAGCCTTGGGTAGCTTAGTGGGTTATGTGTTGGACTGTTAACTGCAAGGTCAGCAGTTTGAGTGCACCAGTGGCACTCCGCAGGAGAAAGATGAGGTTTTCTGCTCCCACAAATATTACAGTCTTGGAAAGCCATACAGGGTCCCAATGAGTCGGTACCGGCTTGACTGCACACCACCACCACCCGTGATGCCGCATCCCAAAGGCCTCGTGATCTGCTCGTGTGAAGGTGGTGATTCAGAACACGATGGAGCAGTTCTGTTGTTAATTGCAAGGCCTTTTTGGAACAGCCCCTAAAGTGCTATCCTCCTCCTCTTCTTCACTTTAAACCTTTCTTGTTGCCGTTTTCTGGTTTTTCAGAGAAAAATCACTCATTGCTGTTAATATTATTTACAAGGTTTCCCCTGGCCAATTTTTAAAGTAGATTGCCAGGTTCGACTTCCTAGTGTGTCTTTGTCTGGAAGCCCCATGGAAACCTGTCCAACATTGAAATACCAGCAGTGTAGCTTCCAGCAACACACAAGCCAGCGCAGTGCAACACACAGCCAGACAAGTGGACGAGTGGTGGTGTCAGCCAGTGAGCTCCAATGGACTAGTGAAACCAGACAGTCATATGCTCTGCTATGCCAGGAATGACAAATTTAATTAGAGTGATGTCACATTCATTATCAATAACATTTCAAGATCTCTCCTGAAGTACCACAAATTGTATGCTGAGAAAATATACAAGACTTAAGAATGCTAAGTGCCGGGTTTCCGAGGAGTGGCTGGTGAGCTTGAACCACCAACCTTGCAGTTGAGTGTTTATCCTACAGTGCCACACCAGGACTCCATTAAGGATGGGACATCAGAATTGTAGGCTCAGTAACAATCTGATATGCAGATGACACAACCTTGCTTTCTGCAGGCAAATAGAACTTACAGCACTTAACTGATGTAGATCAAGAGAATATAGCCTTCAGTACAGACTACAACTCAATGTAAATAAAACACAAATCTTCACAACTGAACTGATAAACATGATAGATGGAGAAAAAGATTGAAGTTGTCAAGGATTTCATTTTACTTGGATCCATAATCAACGCTCCTGGAAACAGCAGTGACGAAACCAAGTGACAGACTGCACTGGACAAATGTGTTGCAAAAAAAAGCCCTTTTTAATCTGTCAAAAAGCAAAGCTATTGCTTGAAGGACTAAGGTCTACCTGACCGAAGTCACAGTTTTTCCATTCTTATATGCAAATGAAAGTTGGACAGTGACTAAGGAAGACAGAAGTTTTCTCTCTCTCGATTTGTGGTGGTGAATATGAAATATACCAAGGACTACGTGGTGCTGTAGGACAATGCACCGGACCATAAAGTCAGTTTGAACCGCAGAGTTGGTAGTTCAAACCCACCAACTGCTCCTTGGAAACCCTCTACAGGTTGGAAGTGACTTGATGGTATCTAACAAGAGCAGCACCAAAAGATTGATGAGATCTGTGTTGTAAGCACAGCCAGAATGGTCCCCAAAAGTGAGGATGGTGAGACTTGCTGGCACGTACTTTGGACTGTTTATCAGGGAAGACCAGCTGGTTCCTGGAGAAGGACATATTTGTTAAGGTAGAGGGTCAATGAAGTACAGGAAGACCCTTGGGGAGATGGAATTGACACAGTGGCTTCAACAGTGGGCTCAAACATGGCAAAGCTTATGGGATGGTGCAGGACTGGGAGGGGTTTCATTCATGGCGTCGCTCTCATGAGTCAGAACCAATGCAGGATAAGGCGCTGGACTGCAAGGTCAGTTTGAGCCACAAGGTTGGCAGTTTAAACCCACCAGCTGCTCCTCAGAAACCCTATACTATACAGGGTCACTATGAGTCAGAACCGATTCCATGGCACTTAACAACATCAAACAAATTGAAAATTTTTATATATGAGGCTAAATAAAAAAATATTGCTACAAAAATCATAGAAACCTTTATTAAGCCAAATATCAACATGTAAAGCGTTTGTTTCTAAACATACTCTCCATCGAGGTCTATGCACTTCTGAAGGGGGTCTTTCCCCGAAGAGTCCCGCGCTCTTAGATTGACACCCCATCAACATGGGGGTTTGGGCACCCCTAAAGGACTCAAATCATGTTGCTTTTAAATGTTCTCTGAGTTTGGGGAACACAACTCTGAAGGGACAAGATCAGGGCTGTTAGGTGGATGATGGCATAAGGTTCCCAACAAAATTCTCATAGAACATCAGCCTTATTACCCTGAAGAATGAGGTGGTAATGGGAAAAAGCATCAGAATTTTCTTGGCCTTCTCACCAATACAGATGTCAATTCTCTTAAAACTTCTTTATGATACGTTCGTTATGTGTCGTCTGAAATGACCCCTTTGGGATCCCCAAAACAGTCACCATGACCTTCTGAGCTGACGTCTACCTTGAATTTAACTGACCCAGCAGATCCCCTTGGAAGTCACTCTTTTGATTGGACTTGATTTTTGAAGGAAACCTAATGAGTCATAAGATAAGGGCATTACTGAGAGATTGTCTACAGCCATCCACTGACCACAGAGACATGTTTAAGCACATTTTGTTTGGAACACACCTGTGCAGGTATGAACTGGAACCTTAGTAGCAATACTTTCTAACAATTTTGCCCCATTTGTGGAATCTAGCATTGAGGGTAGTTAACCATGCCAACAAGGTGTCTTCCTTCACCTGTTTACCTGTGGGACAGCTTCACCCATATGACTGACCTTACTGTCTAGGCTCTCTGGGCTCTGTCCAGTCATCTGGCTGCCAACTCGCCAGATTATGCATATTCCCTGCGCTTCACACCTGTAATCCTGGCTCAGGTAGGAGAGGGGACCCTAGGAGCCCGTTTGTACCAAGTGTTCCAGTGGTTCTGACGCCTGCTAGACGGGGATGGAAGCCTGCCCTGTCATTCCGAGTAGACGCCCTATGGGGAACTCATGTCAACCCAAGCAGGGTTCAGATGGCCTTATGCCAGCAACACTTTTCCTGAGAGCTGACTGTCATCGTTAAGGTTTTGGGTCAACTTGACTGTACCAGTTTCCGCCGTCATTTTACAGTTGAGATGTCATCTCCCATGACGAGATCTGATAAAATGTCACTTCCGTGATGAGATTGGCTATGAGCAGTCAACCAATCGAAAGGATGTTTCCTCGGGGTGTGTGTGAACGTCATTTTACAAAGCTAGAAGTGAGCACAAGAAAGAAAAGCCGGGAGTGGAGTGGTCCTTTGGACCACTCCTAGATCCAGGGCAAGATGGAGACCAAGAGATTCATGGAGAGCTCCAAGGAATTCTGGGGGAGACAAGGCCCTTTCTCCAGAGCTGGCGCTTTGAATTGAAACACAGAGAGAATACATTTCTGTTCTAGCAGCACGAGAGAGTGAAGACACTGGCCCTTGGTGCAGACAAGTAGGTGAGCCATCTATTCACGATTCACAGGTTTCCAAGACCCACGCAGCACTCATTTGCAAAGAGATGAATGAGAAAGAGGGAGCCATACACCAAGGACTGTTTTAAGAGAACTTTTATTGATTTTTTGAGAGAAAGCCCTGGAAATGCATCTTTCCTGAGAAAAGAAACACAAGTGGTAGCAAGATGTGTTTTAGCTGCTACAGAAAGAACAGGATTATTTTTGATTAGTGTTTTAAAAATCACTGTCAGTAAGCCAAATGCTTGACAGAAGAAGGAGGCGATCTTGCAGAAGATTAATAAACCAGGCCTTCTCCCCAGATTAAGCTGCACTCTTTGGCATGATCAAATGTCAGCGGTGGCCTTGGGATTCTGAACACCGTCTCTTACCACGGGAAGGCCAGTCAATCGGCAGGCTGACCGTCTTCAGGAGAGGGTGCCAGGCTGGGTCCCAGTCCTGCTGGGCCCAGCAGCCCAGCTCTACTTGGAGCCGGAGAAGGGGGTAAAGGCCTTGTCCTGGCCTGCCATGCACGCTTCGATTTCCTCCACGGTGCGAGGCACGCAGGTCAGTAGCTCCATGCCGCTGTTGGTCACCGCAACATCCTCCTCGATGCGGACCTGGGCCAGATGGATGGATGGACGAACACACAGACACTCATTAATTACTACTGAGCTGCCCTCATCTGTGAGAGGACAGATGTGTCCCTCACTGCTGAGTGTGAAAGCCCCTTCTACCCACCCAAGCCCACTACCATGGAGTCCATTTAGACTCAAAGTGACCCTGGGGTTTCTGAGGCGCTCATTCTTTATGGGGCCAGACAGCTTCAGATTTCTTCTGTGGGATGACTGGTGGGTTTGAACCAGCGACCTTGTGGTGAGTGCCCAAAGCCCTTTCTAGGGAGTGTCCCAAATTCCCTGTGACAGGGTCTGTCTTCAGTCTGTGGACAACCAGTAAGGGCAGGCTCCTCTTGTGGGGCCATCTGCGCATGTCACCTGCTCTGGGAGCGGGCAGGCATTTTGTGGCAGGACATCTCTTCCTGACAAACTACAAGTAGAGGCAGGCTGGACCCTCCTCCAGTGAGAAAGTCAAGACAGCCCTTCCCCTGACCCGGGAATGCTGGATGGGCACTCACCCCACCAAACCCTCGAAAGCGCTGCAGGACCTCACGGTTGAAGAAGCAAGCGCGGGCTGGGTCTGCCAGGGCCTCGTCCAGGAGGTGGTCGATGAAGTAAATGCCGGGCTCCACGGTCAGCACCATGCCGGGCTCCAGGTGCCGTGCAGTACGCAGGCTACGCAGGCCGGGTTCGTCTATGCGATCCACACCCTGTGGGAGCCGGCACAAAAAAAACCCAGCTGGTGACCCCCAGGCCATGGGGTCCAGGGGGCATGTTCGCTCCCTCAGGCAGGAGACCACCAAAACGAGAGAAGATACAAGCCATAGGCACATCTGAAAAGACCCTCAACTCGGCGCACACCCTAGATTTCATGGGGCTCGATCACTCCTTTCTTTCTCTTCAGAATCACCTCCAGGACGCCTGGGGACCTGCATGGCACATGCGCTAGACAAACTGTCCAGGCTGGCCTGAGGGGCTGGCTGGGGGTCCACTGCCGCCACCCAGGCCCTTCTCCTGGCCAGGGAACAGTCCAAGCTGCACCCCTGAAGCCAAAAAAGTTCTTAAGGAGGCTGTTTCATTCCTTCTAAGCAGCTCAAATGGCAGCAGCCCCAAGTGGAGGTCCAGCTCTCATAGGCATGTCCCTGGCTTCCAGGAGAGGGACAGGTGTGGGCATTGAGGCAGGCCTGCCAGCAGCAGCACCGGTATGGATGTGCACAAACGCATACACCCATGTGCACGGCCTGGGGAGGCTCCCAGCGGCATTCCAGCAGAGCTGCGGTCTTCCCTACAAGGGGCTGGCTCCGCTCCAACCCCAGAGGAGGAGCGGGTTGGATGGAGTGAGTGCTCAGCCTGGACCCATCCACACTCCCACGGAGGGGATGGACAGGGCCACCCTGGGGTGTGAAGGCAGGTGGAGACCATGGGACTTGCAAGTGTCCTGGCCTTCCCCGGGCCCTTGTGGCATAGCCCGTCCCGAGGCCAGGGCCTCTGAGCCCATGGGCAGCAAGCGTCTGGTTAGGATCTGAACTTGCCCCGCGTCATTCTCACTCCCCCAGGAGGCCAGGCTGCTGGAGATGGGAGCTGTCATTTCTGACTGTTTTGGGGCCAGAGCATCAGACTTCAATTAGTGGTTCATGTAAGGTAACCAGAAGCTGGCTAGTTCACAAACTACCCTGTCCTGCTGTGAGCCAGGAGGCGGCAATGAGGGGACACGAGGCCCCATACTTCTGCTGGGTCAGAGGTCTGCCTGCACCATGCTTTGGTTACAGACCACCACATCCTAGGCCGAGGGGCTGGGCAGGAGGAGGGGTCTGGGGGTTAGGATCCCTGCTGGTTACAGCTGGGAGACCGGGGTCTCTGCCCAGAACTTTCCCATCCCCCTCTTGCGGTCCCTCCTCTCTGCTCCATGGTGTCAAAGCCAGGGGCCCGGCTCCAGCAAAGATCAAGTCTCCCTCCACTCCCAAAGTCACCCTCAGCTCCTGTCTGTCCCCAGCTGAGCTGCTGCAGGCTGTGTGTAGACGGGAGGGGCATGGAGAGAATGAAGCAGATCCCTGGGGCATCACAGACCGTCACCCTTCTGAGCAATAGCCCACCAAGCAGAGGACTGGCCTGGGTGTGTCTGAGCCCTACAGTCAGAGCAGGATGGAAGGGGGATGGAGTGGAATGGCAGCCCTGGGTTGGTGGGTGGGCAGTGTGTGCCCTCTGCCTGGACAGAGGGCTTGATGTGGCCCCAACTGTTACTGGGCTCAGAGCAGAAGAGACCCAGATGTGTCTGTAGGCCTGAAATAAAACAAATAGCTTTTATAGGAAAAGCCTTCTTTTTCCACAACGTTTATCTGTCAGAAGAATAGACTGAGCACAAAGGGCTGCTTTACCGGAAAAGATGAAAACGGTTTGCTGCCAGTTTCCTCGGGTGGAAAAAAAAAAAAAAAAGCGCTTTGGCAACTAATGAATAATGAAGCGCAGTTAACAATGTCTGGAAGGGCCTGCTCTTGGCTCCTCACACACAATGCAATGGAGAGAAATTAGGAAATTAAAACTGAGTTTGTTTCTCCAAATTTAACTGTTTACACTGGAGGAAAAAAATAATTGAATAATAATGCTTTTCTTGAGCAATTTTTTCCCCCCTAAAAATTGTTCAGAGTGCTTTCAAAATACCCTGCAGCCAAGAGGCCGGGCTGGTGGGGCCCCAAGGCGTGCACTGATTGCATCATGGGTCCCCTGCACCGTGGGCGACAGGCCAGCAGCAGGGACAGGCTGCTCCACCCTCCTGGGGCCCAGGCTACAACCACCTGCCCAGTAGGGCCTCCTGAGACCCTCAACTGGCCTCTGGGTGGTCCTTTCATGGACCGGCACAGACTCTAGGAGGGGGAGGGAGGTCTGTCTAGAGCTGTCCCACATAAGCCTCCCTCTCCCTGTCACCAAGGGTCCCCAGAGTGACTGGAAAAAAGACCCTGGAATGCAAAGGGCACCCCAGAGAGAGGGCAGGGCTCAGCTTTCTCCAGATGACCAGGGCAAGGGATCAGCTGGTAGGGTTCGTCAGCCCTCTCTGAATGAGGCACAGACACAGGAGGGCATGGGGGATCCCCAACATCCACTACCCTGGGGACCCCATCCACTACACACCACCACCCTTCAGGGCAAGTTACCCCAGCACCCATATCCACTGGAGCAGGGGCAGTATTACTGGGAACCAGGGAGGTAGGCTCAGCGACAGCGTCCACACTGACCTCGGGGTAGCCGCCCACGTCGTGCACGTCAATGCCCAGGAAGTGGCCCAGGCCGTGAGGCATGAAGACGGCTCCCAGGTGGGCCTGGGCCATGGCGTCCACGCTGCCACTCAGGATGCCAATGGCGACCAGCTCCTCCAGATGGATTCGGTCAGCCAGGCGATGCATGTCAGGCCACCAGACGCCTGTGGCTCAGAGGGAGGCTGCAGTGAGCCGTGCAGGCCGGCCAGGGCTCCCCAGGACAAGGGTAGGGAAAACACAGAACCCCTGAACTGGACCAGCATGCACTTCTGCAGCTGCAGGACCCCAGTAAGACCCCTTGGTGGCAGTAGAAGGGAAGCCCAAGTCCACAAATAGCCTAAAGGCACCCAGCCCAAGGCTCAGGCCTCAGAGCTGCCTCTGAACCTTGGCCTTGGTTTTGCTGCTGTAAGGCAAAGGGGAGTGTGTGTGTGGGGGGGGGGGGGAGCGAGGGGCATCTTGCACACCCTGGAACACAGCTGAACCACCCTTGGAGCTGTGGTGGGGAGCAAAGGTTTCTTGGTGAAGGTGCAGCTGGCACAACCCGCCCGGCTGCCTGGCAGGGGTCTGTGGCCCTGCCTGCTAACAGCAGTGGATGACCCAGCGCAAGGCTTATCAGACACCTGAGCTGCTAATCAAAGTCATCTTTGCCCCATGTTTCTGAGGCAAAGGCCACAGTGGAGAGATCCTGGGGCCACACAGGCTGGGTGGGCTGGGGGGCCTGAGCCCTGAGTCAGCCCCAGCCCCGTGGGAGTTGTAGCACAGAATGCAGGGAGAGAGGCCCCTTTAAGGGCTATCCCGTGCATACCCCTGTCCTGCTCAGTGGGTTCTGCAGGAAGCCCATCTTCAGCCTCTCTCAAGGGGCCTGCACCCCCACCTCTGGACCAGCATGAGCATCTAACAAGGACCTTAGGTCAGCAGTGCATTCTGCCCACACCCCATGGTGGACGCTGGGTCTGATGGATGGCTAGGGGCCCATATCCCTGCAGTGCTCCTCAGGCCAGACCCCATGGCCCTCTCTGGACAAGCTCAGCCCCATGTGGTGGGGCAGCCGTGGCTCTCCCAACCACAGCCTCATTTCCCTTCACTGAGGACCATGGGGTTTTGGCTGTGACTTGCCTTGTTTGACCCTGAGCTGGACGAGACTGGGTCACAAAGGTCTGGGTCCACAGCCCTTCACCTGTGCAGTGGACAGAAGGGAGACGCTCGGACACTAGAACCTCATGTTGGGCGAGGCCTGGGACCCACAGTCGTAGAGCTGATTCCACCTCTTGGGTCAGGTGGGTGGGGCAGTCCCTCTGTGAGGCAGAACGTGAGCAGTCCCCTGACTTGTCCACACAGAAACCCTCCTTCCCTTTAGCATCCAGGGGCCAGAGTTACTGTCATCATCTCCTGCCCTAGCTTCCAGCTGCAGCCTGCTCTCTCCCTGGCCCAGCCCGAGGAGCCGAGCCTGGCTAGCCTGTCAGCACCAAGGGGAGCCTAGGGCAGGCCTGAGGCCCACAGCACCACTGAGGTGGAACCCTTCAGCGAAGGGCTGGGATCCCTGAAATGGAGACATGGGTGACAACTACCGTAGCCTTAGTACATGACCTGAGCCAATCCTTTAATTCTGTGAGCTGAGGCCCCTTCCTCTGTAAAACACAGCCCTACAAAGCTGGCTACTGCATTTCTGACATCTACTCGGAGCAGCGCCACCAGCCACTACTTGTCCATCACTTGTGACAGGCTCCACCTGGGTTCAACAGGTACATTCGCTGTATTCCTGGGTGTAAACCAAGCCCATGGTTAAGACCTGACCCACCCTGCAAGCACTTCCTCCTTCCCTCCATCCGCACGGTCCAGCTGCCAGGCCAGCGTCATTCTAGAAGCACACTGGTCCTTCCATGTGAGACCTAGGCCCAGTCATTCCGTCCCTGGCCACCTCCTTGAGAGACCTTCCCCAGTCACTGGCCGGTCGCTTCTCTCATGGCGCCTTTCAGCGTGAAACTGGCTTTCAGGCGTACTTGCGGAGGTTTCCCGAGGGCAGACTACTAGGTCCCCAGGGTGTGCTTGTGTAGGGCCGAATGACCAGTCCACCTCTGGAAGGCTGGCTCCCCACTCAGACTTCTAACGAGCCTCAATCCCGCAATCAGTTGGACCAAGCCCAGGAAGGGCCTCCAGAGTGGCGTGGACCCTCAGCCCCGGGCCTCCCCACTGTTTTTGGACAGGCACATGTTTCTGATGCCAAAAGGGAGTCCCAGGAAACAGGCCCACTTGGAAGCTGGCTGACTGCTGTAGCAGGGCTGTGGTCTTGGCAGGCTGCAGGCAGGGTGGGCATCAGGTATAAATCATGTGAGGTGGCGGCAGCTCTGCTCCCCTCCTGTCATCTCGGCCCTTTGCAGAGGCCGCCTGGCGCCTGCCTGGAGGTACAGGCCCCGCGGCGCCGAGCTTTCCTCGCCCGTGAGCCCTCGGGGAAGGCCTTGCGCACAGCTCTTTTGGCTGAGTGGTGTGGCTCGGCCTGTGTGTGGTTGGGGTGACACTAGCTGAACCTCCAGCAATTTGGCCTGAATGGGGGTTACGACACACACACAGCCACATGGGTGTGGGGCCCCTGAAGTGTGTCCTTGGGCTACATGGGTGGAGACTGGACACAAACCTGAAGGCACTCTGACCCTCGGCATGCTGCTCATGCCTGCCGCTACCGGGGGACACTACACTGCAGGAACCTGGAGTCATCTTCCCTGACCCCCCTCTGGCCTCCAGCCAGCTTTCCCCAAACATCTCTTAGACCCTTGGCTGACTTCCTGCAGGCCTCTGGCTGGGTGCCAGGCCCATCCTGTCCCCACTGGACAGAGCCCTCCTGCACTTCCAAAGACAGTCACTGAGGTTCCTTGAGCGGAAGACCACCCCACTCCAAGCACTCCCTGACTGCTTTCCTCCATGCTGCCGGAGCCCCCAGAGCAGTGTGGCTACGGCCTGGTAACTGGCCGGTGGAGGCTTGCTGTGACTTGAGCCCCAGCCTCCCCCGTGGCTCTCTACAGCCAGTATTGTAATTCCAGGATTTAGGAGTCCCCAACTCCACTCCTCTGGGCACCTGGGTCTGGGTTAGCACCCCACTATCCTGGTGTGGCACTGTGGGTTATGTGCTGGACTGCAAAGTACGTTTGAGCCACAAGGTTCAAGCTCACCAGTTGTTCCTGAGAAACCCTATACAGGGTCACTGTGAGTCAGAAGCGACTAGATAGCATTTAACAAATAATCACCGTGTGGTGCTGTAGAATCAGCATTGGACTGTTAACCACAAAATGTGCTCTTTGGGAACCTACATAGGGTGTCTATGTGTCAGAACAGAGTCCTGGTGTGGTGCTGTGGGTTAATGCACTGGACTGTACAGCTGGTTTGATCTGCAAGGTCGGCGGTTTAAGCTCACCAGCTGTTCCTCAGGAACCCTATACAGGGTCACTATGAGTCAGAACCGATTCCATGGCACTTAACAACATGAGTCAGAATCAACTCTGTGGTGCTTAACAACATCTGCCTCACAGATGTACCGATGCCAGGGACGAACTAGGTCATGGGCCAGTGTTTTGTGGCCAACCAAGGCCCCCAGACCATCTCCTGACAAGTCCAGAGCTTGCTGAGCCTGCAGCCGGGCTGGCCCCTCGGAGCCTCAGCAGCATCTATCACAGCCCGGAGGTCTCCGGCCCAGAGCCTGACCACTGGGGGCTCTGAGCCCAGTGGGGGGAGGCAGCAGAGGGCACAAACCTTTCCGAAGAGTTCACTTCATGTACTCAATGCCCTCCTGGGAGGAGTGGGGGGCTGCCCTAGTGGACTGCCTGGCTCAGGGCTGAGAGCCCCCAGCTTACCCTGCACCAGGGATGAGTGGACTCTTGTCTGCTGCCAGAGCCTCTGGGAGGTGTCCACTGGGGCTGCAGGCTCTTCCCTGTGCAGGCGGGACTTGCTTGCCCCCACCCCCCTCCTTCAGGCCTGGAAAGTACCCTGAGGAGCAAGGTCAGAGGGCAGCACCTCACCTGGGCAGGGGGGCAAGGGCAGGTCCTGATAAGGCTCTGGTCCCTCCTGGGTGGGAGGCACCCTTTGACCACAAGTCCTTAGGATATGTGGTTAGGACCCCCAAGAGCCTGGCACCCACTAACTGGGCCTTTCTCGTGTCCTCAGGCCCAAAGTGAGAGCTACAGAACTGCTCAGGACCCTGGCACTTCCTGCCACGGTGAGCCCTTCCCCCTTCCGAAGGGGCTGGGACCAGAGACCGCTGGGTGAGGGTGCTGAACTTGTGAGGCCATGGCGGCAGTTTTACAGGCTGGCTCAAGCAACGCTCACAGAGTTTTGTTGGGTACAGTCTGTGTGGGGCCTCTCAGGTGGTCACTGGTAGGGACAGGAGGCAAGGGCAGGGTCTGGGTGGTGGCCATGCAAGGAGGAAGAGGGAGCTGAGAGGGCAGGTGGCCTTGGTGCTTACAGGCAGGGTGGTCGGGGACTTTGACACACCTGCCTACCCACCCAGGCCGTCCTGTCCTCCCCGACTGTCCTCTGTCAGGATGGTGATTGTCTATCAGCACAGCATTTCTGGGTGGCCCCTCGTCCAGTGCATGAGCTGCTCCTGCCACCCTCACGTGGTTTCTGACATCCAGCGTTCCCTGAGTCTGGGATGGACTCTACCCTGCTGTCCCCCAGGGCTGGACCCACAAGGCCATGGGAAGTAGTCCCACAGTCTCAGCGGGGTTTTTGTGTTGGCCCAGGAGTTGCACCCACAAACCAGGGGCAATTCCACTAGGACAGGGCATAGGGTATGAGGAGGCGACTGCCCCCCACTGTCCCAAGCAGTTCTGGGGGCCCAGGACCTCCCCCGACCCACCAGCTCTGCACTGTATCCCCCAGATAGAGTTAGGTTCTGTCAAGGGGTAGTGTCAGTATATCACAATCTCCACGTACAGGTGGTAGAGGGGTGTGTATGTGTGTGTGTGTTTGTGTGTGTGTGAGGTGGCGGGGATTGACAGGGGACTCTGCTCTACCCTGCCCCCCCCAGATTCTCAAGGTCCCAGCCTAGGTCTGGCTTGCAGCGAAAGTGGGACAGCAGGCCTAGGGGGTCAGGGTGGGTCGGCCAGCTCTGAGATCCTGTGCTCGGCAATACTGCAGAGCTGGGGATGCTCGCGGGCCACTTTCTGTGCAGAAGTGAAATGGCTAGGTTGGGTCACTGAGCTGGCCAGGACACTTGCAGGCCTTCCTGCGGGTGGGCAGCTGGGGTTGGGCCAGGCTTTGGCCACCCCTAGTCTCAGTAGCAGGTGAGAGGTACCGAGAGCTCCGGGGGCAGCACCACCCTGCTGGCCACACTGGACACTGGGTGCAGATGTCCCTCCATCCTGTGCCTGCCTCCTTACTGAGGGGCTTGGCCCCTCCTGCCCTGACTCCAGAGTTACAAACTATCCTCCCTCCCTTTCTAGTGGCTGGTGGAGAAAGGTTCACTGTGCTCCTTTGTAGCTCCTGGAGCTATGAGACTGTAATGGGAGACTGGGCTCAGGGTGAACTCGGCCAGCCCAGGCAGCTCAGCTTTCAAGCTAATCTTCACTCAACCAAACGGGGCTCTGTGGTCCCTGCCAGGGCTCAGACCTCCTAGAATTAAGAAGTCCACTGGTGTCTGTGGATGTGTGCAGACGTTGCTTTAGGAAAAGGTGGTAAAAGGTTGACTTCACCTCCTCGGCGGCACAGACACACTGGCAGAGCTGCAGACAGGTGTAGGCCGGGAGTGTGGAGAAGCCAGCCCTGTGGACACTCTATAGGCCGGGAGCATGGAGAAGCCAGCCCCATGGACACTCTGTAGGCAGGGAGCGTGGAGAAGCTAGCCCCGTGGACACTGTAGGCCAGGAGCGTGGAGAAGCCAGCCCCGTGGACACTCTGTAGGCCGGGAGCGTGGAGAAGCCAGCCCCATGGACACTCTGTAGGCAGGGAGCGTGGAGAAGCCAGCCCCGTGGACACTGTAGGCCAGGAGCGTGGAGAAGCCAGCCCCATGGACACTCTGTAGGCAGGGAGCGTGGAGAAGCCAGCCCGTGGACACTCTGGGGCCCAAACCTGCCTGTCTCACAGCTTCTCCACAGCGGTTGTCCTCACAGACACTAACGCAGACCACCAGGCATTTGCACTGGCCAGTGGCTTCACTGCACACGCCCCTCAGGGTGACTGTTTCATGGACATTGGATCTAATAAGCAGGACTGCACAAATGGCCCTCAAGTACTGACCTAATGGGAGTGTGGTAGCTCCATACGGCAAGCACTGGACTGTTAACCACAAGGTCTGAGGCTCCAGCTCACCATGAGAAAAAGAGGCTTTCTTCTCCCTTGAAGACTTAAAGCCTCGGAAACCCTATACAGGGTGTCGGGATTGACTCAACAGCACTTAACAACTGACCTAAACGTTGGTGGTTCAAACCCACCCAAGGAAGTTCCTGGAGTCCCATGTCTCACAGGGAAGGTCCTGGAAAAGAGGAGTGGTTTGTTTCCATAGAGATTATAGTCAAGAGCTCTGGTGGTGCCAGGAGTTAAGTGCTGGTCTGCTAACCAAAGGTTAACGGTTCAAACCTACCAGCAGGAGAAATACGGAACTGTCTGATTCCGTAAAGATTTAGTCCCGTACACCGTAAGCAGCAGTGCTACTGTCCGGTACGGTCGCTCTGCGTCAGAAGCAACTTAACGGCAGAGGGTTTGGATTGGGGTTTGGTGCCTAAGAGTCTTTGGTGACGTCCATGGTTAACCCACTGGGCTGATACCCGAAAGATTGGTGATTTGAGTCCAACCAGAGGCCCCTCAGAAGGAAAGCCTGGTCATCCACTGAAAACCCGACGGAACACAGTTCTATTCTGGCATATCTGGGGTCACCATGAGTTGAAATCGACTCAGTGGTACCTGTGTGGTTTTCAGAAGTCACAAAATATAAACGAGCACAGGGAACAGCATCCTCCCCCCTGCTCATGCCCCTCTTACTTCCGGAACCTCCTTTGTGGACAGGAAACGTGAATCCAACTCTTCCACGCAGCACACTGACTGTCCAGCCCGCCAGCCCCACACATTTATGTCTCTACACAGCAATCTGGGTTGGACATTTTCCTCATTTGTATTCCTAGGAGGTAGCTGCTTCTTGTCAGCCCCAGATATTGATGCACTAATAGATCCTGCAGCAGGTAAACCAGGCCAATCAGCAGGAGCTGATTTGCTTTCACATTTTCCCACGGGGACCCTGCCCAGAACTCATTTATTCAGAGTGCTGTTCCCCCAGGACACGTGAGGTGGGTGGGCCACCCTTCTAAGACTCCTTAGCCTCTCGGGCTGGGCAAGGGGCCATCAGGAGGTTGTCTTTCTTGGAAACAGTCACTGGTGAGGACTCCTCAAAAGTAGTACCTGGTCTTGCGCTCGGCCACTGGGCCTCCTGAGCCAGTTGCTGCCCACTGAGAACCCACACCCGGGGGCATTTACAGCTCTGGGGCTCAGGACTGGAGGGCTTTGGGAGGTGTGTTTGTTTTGTGAAAGCTCCTCTAGGCATATGAGTCTGACAGCCCAAGTCTCCATCCCCAGTCCTCTGCTCACCTCTTCCTGAACATACTTGTCACAACCAGCCACCCGCCACCTCTCCGCTGGCCCTCAACAAGTGGGCACTGGCCCTGGCCAGTATGAGGACTGATTGGTGCATATGCTGAAGGTCAGGCCCTCTCCAGGCCCCACGGTGGGGATGAGAAGATGGAAAGGATTGAGCAGGGCACATAGGCTGAGGTGCGGCTGGCCACGGCCCTAGGTCTGAGCCTGCACTCTGGATGGTGAGCCCTCGCTCCAGGGCCTCCAGTGCTCCCTGCCTGCAGTGGCTCCATGAGGCTTGTGGGGAACACGAGCTCCCAGCACCCAGGGCTTCGGGTAGAAAGCGGCCTCCAGTGCAAGGCCCTTGTCTCTCCTGTACAGCTGGGATGGGGTGGAGGCCTGGGCTATAGCCCAAGCATTCTGGGGTCCCCAGAATGTGGCTGGAGCCTACGTGGCCACAGCTGGCCCTGGCCAGATGAAAGCAGCCCTGAGCTTCCCCCATGCCTGCAAACTCCTAAACCTCACCATGCTGCCACCCGAGAGATCACTGCAGGCAGGGGACATGCAGGTGTAGGATGTCCAATGGATATGGGAGACCTTGGGACCGAGTCCCCCTAATCCCAGCTCTGTCCCTGCCTTGTGATGAGCCGTCTTTCCTAGGAGAGACCCCGGACACCTGGCAACATGTAATTCTTTTTGGTCAGGTATGAAGGTGGAGGGAGGTGGGTAGAGTCAGGAGCCCGGCCTGCCTCACCTGGTTTCATGGCGCTCATGACGGCGCGGCAGCTCCGCAGCACGGCCTTGTAGATGGCCTTCTGGTCCTCGGTAAACTTGCCATTGGCAGGGAAGGTGCAAGTGATGTCGGAGGCGAAGCAGTAATACTCGCCACCCATATCAAAGAGGCTGTGGAAAGAGGAATGTGTCGTGGTGGTGGGGGTGTCCCCAGGCTCACCATGCCCCCTGACGCCCACCCATGTGAGCCAGTCACAGCCCTGAAGTGTGTAGAGCTGGCAGCCAGAGCCACAGGAAGGGCACCCCAGGGCTGGGTAATGCTTTGAGCAGGAGGCCCGCCATCTTGGTTTGGAATCAGCATGAGCCCGCTGTTTGGGGTCCTCGTATCTTGGAGCCTCTCCACAGGTGTATGAACAGGAAAGAAAACCCAAGCCCTCCTAGCAGACCTCTGTCCTCAGGCACAGAGCGAGTGCAGGGCCCAGCCTGAGCAGGGGAGGCTGAGGGGAGCAGGGCTGGCACTCCACAGAGAACTCTGCCTGGCCATGCCCTGCGCTGCCCAGCTGTGGGGGGGTGCACTTAGAGAGCCAGGCCCCACCCCACCTGGCTGCAGACAAGCGACTCCCACATAGCCTCCGGGGGCGCCCAGCATGATCCCAGCTACAGCTCCCAAGGCAGCGCTCATATGGGGAAAGAAGAGCAGGTGTTGGGATGTCCCGCACAGGCCTGAGTGGGTGAACACCCCGCAGACGGCTGATGCCTCTGGCTCGGCACCAGCTGCCTCCCTGTTCTCCAAACTTGCTCTGCCGGGAGTCAAGGGCAGCCTGGGGCCAGGGCTTCCTCAGGGCATTGCCAGCAGACATGGACGGTCCTGCAGGGCATAGACTAAGGGTGTGGGGAGGAGGGACAGTAGAACCTGGGAGACAGGAACCAGCAGAGACAGGCAGGCCTGCGGAGTCAGGAGGACAGCCCGGCTGAGCCTGGCCCCTGCATGCCCTGGGATGGGGCCCTGGTTGCAGAGGGGCCTGGGGGGGAGAAGCGGGAGCTGCCTGACTGCGCACATGCAGCCTGGCCTTGGACCGCTTTGCTCACCCTCTCAGGTGAATGGGACAGAGAGGGGCTACCAGGTCCAGACCTGCCCTGCCCACCGAACAGATAGAACGGGGTGTGGGGAGAAGAGCTGAGGTGGACACTTTGAAAGTCCTGCCTTGTCCCACCTCGGCCCCACAGCTAGACACAGTGGAGACTGCCCGTCATGAATCTGATGGTGACAAAACAGGCTCCTGGGATTGTGCCACCTTGTGTGGACCAGGGGACTAGAGAGCAGAGGAGGTGGGGTTGTTCTCTGCAGACTGGCGAGAGCCCAGCTCTGCTCACTGTCCATGTCTCTCACAGGGGTCAGTCTGCCGCCGTCCTAATCCTGAACAAATCTGAACCCAGGGGCCAGAGCCTCACCCTTGTTTACAAGGGCCTCTCAGCCGAACCACTCAAAAGACGCTCCAGAAGCTGCCTGTGTCCCTGCCTTTGGGGGCTCCGGTCCTCGGGGGGCAGAGCAGGGGTGGGGGGACCTTGTGTGTGGAGCTACCCTTAAGAAAGAAGACTTTTAAAGGAAAAACTTGTATGCTATACTGGAATCAAAAGTCCCCAGCCAGGCACATCTTCATCTCCTGCCTTTTCTGATTGCAAAACACCATAAACACTGTTAACAAATCAAAAAGTACCCGATAACACCTCAGGTGATCCCCAGAAGGGAACTTCGAGGCTGGGTCAAAGTCACCTGGGGGGGACCCTGCCTGGGGCAGGCCAAGGGAGCGATGCGGGCCTCACTTAGGGGTGACCCACCCAAGCCGGGTGTGTAAGCTGAGGACAGGAAACAGAGTGGCCTTGAGCAGACACACCCAGGCGTCAGCTCCCTAAGAGGCACCACATGCAATGGGGTGTTTGGGCCAACGGCTGTCTGGAGATTAATGTGTTGCCCAGGACGGTTGGGCCTATGAACCCCTAAAACGAAAAAGGAAATGTAGGCTCTGAACACAGCAGAACGACCCACTCAGCCTCCCGGCCTCAGTTTTTCTACCTCTAAAATGGGGACAGTGTCTTTGCTGCTGGGGCCAGCATGCAGGCAGGTGTGGGCAGGGGAGCTGCAGGGGCCCGGGCCCAGTTTCCCCCCGGGGAAGCAGAACGTTTTTATCTGGGCTCCCTGGAGTCAACAATGGAGAATGGTTTGTGGTTTGTTGATTTAGAACATCCAGGAATAGTCTGAGTTGACAGAGCTGGGGTGTGGGAGACACAGATTCCTGGGGGCTACCACATCACAGGGCAGTCTGCCACAGCACCCTGGGCAGGCAGAAAGTCCTAATACGCTGTGTTTTTTCTCAAAGAAAAACAGAAATTGAACTATTTAAAAAACCGGGAAGCCTCAGCAAGCACTCACAAAATGTTGTCAAGTGCTGGAGGCACCGACAGAAAAGTAGGAAAAACAAATCTTGTCTGGTCCAAGAAGATTCACAACCAAGCTCTCCAGACCTCTTCAAAAAACTGACCCGAGAAGAGTGTGGGACGGTGGGGCTTAGATTTCCCATCAGCCTCAAGCACTGAGCCCTGCCTTTATCTTTCCGATTATGGAAGACTTCAACTGCAGTTTTTGTTTTAGGATCACCCGCTTTCTGGAAAAGGAAGTATACACCCGGCCGGCCAGCAGCCAGCCACACTCAGGCACGGGGCTATAGTCTATTTTTGTGCTCTCAGTTCCTTATCTTTTTTTGCTCCTATTTTTTTTGAAAAGTCCCCCTCAGTGTTTGTACATGCATTAGTTAATTCAGATTAGAGCTACGCTGGAATCCAGGGAAGAAAGCCATTGCTTTTATAAATCATCTCCCTCTAACTCCTTGGTGTACACTTCATCCATCCCCTGAATGCAAACCGACAATAATGGAGAATTCTGTCATACTTTGGCGCAATGGAGAACAAAGGCTCCCTCCTTCGCGGCTGCCTGGGGACACCCAGCAGGGACATTACCATCTTTGGCCGAGAGAGTTTGTGTGATAATCCAAGACATCTGGGGAGATATTACACATCTCCAAGTAATATGCTGGCTTCTTGCTCCTCACATGTGTTCATCTGATTCTATTTCTGGCTGGGATGACAGGTTCTGTCTTCCGCTGGCTCTTCGGGCCCGGGCTCCCTGCCACGACTGGCCCACCCAGTCCCTCTTCAGGCCCCCTCAACTCGCTCAGCCCCACTGCAGGGACCAGCTCAATGGGCTGCAATCTTTATCCAAGGGTTGCTTCATTTAGATCTCCTGAGTATGGGCACATGGGGTGACTCTTAGCTCCTTCTCACCCAAGACTGGCAATTATACCCTCGGGCGGGCGCACACAAGGTCCATTCCCAATCGCAGAGCAATCCTGACCCCATGTTCAGCCACTGTTCTGCGCCCCAGGACAGGCTGGGGGATTTCTGAACAGCAGGAAACGCTAGCTTCCCTTCAGACCCCAGTGTAAGACAAACAAGGGGAGGCCCTTTTGCAGCTACTTTTTTGTTTGTCTGCGGCAGTGCAGCCCCCCCAGGACAAGGTGGCCAGCTGTGGTCTTTCTGGTGTGGACTAAGCCCGACCTCTGCTGAGCATCAAGCTCCGCATGCACACCAGGAATAGATGAACAGCCCTTGAGGCCCCTGCCCCGTGCCTTTCCCCACCACCCAGTCACAGAGTAGCTACCTCCAAGGGACAGGGGAGGGTACACAGGAAACAAAGCACCCAGTCTAGGTGCCTTCTGGGTGCCCAGTGACCAGAGCAGCTACCTGCTGTGTGCCTGCTATGTGTCTGGGGAGACTGGTCACCGCCACAGCACAGAGTGGCAGGAAGTCGCACTGCACGGTCCCTTGCCTGGTCCGAGGGTGACCTGAAGGCACAAAGTGGACCTGGGCTGGGTGTCAGGGTGGGGGCAGGGAGTCGGTGTCACGCGCACAGCACACGCTTCCTTTCACTTTTCTGGTAAGCAGGGTCCCATGATGTCTGCTGGCACCCAGGCTGTCTGGCCAGCATTTTTTTCAAACTGCGGGGGCTGCGAACCAAGAGGGAACCTACAGCCAGGGGATCTGGTGACATCTGGTGTTTCTGTGAATGACACTGGGCTGAGACATTAGGGATGGTCCTACCTGGAATGGAAAGGGGAAGGAAGGCCAAGGTCATCGGTCTGCAAAGAAGGCTGACCAGGGCCTGTAAGCCTCGGACTGAGGGAGGACTGGGCAAGTCTCTAACAGCCCAAATCCTCAGGATGGGGCTAGGCTGGGAGGCATCAAGCTCACCCCTTGGAAGACACAGCCAGATGGCAGAAATGGGGCTGGACCTGGCAGTGGACGACAGATATGGGGTGGCATTCTACTCCAAAGCCTGATAAGCCATCAGTAGGGGCCCAGATGGACTGTCTTGCTCCAGCCCCTCTGCTGGCCACTTCCTGCTTGGTCTTGGAGAACAGCCCACAGATTCAGACACAAGACAGACATTAGTTAGCCTGACCATCCAACCTGGAGTTGGGAACATCATCCCTTTCTGACTCATAGGGTCCACGGGGGCCTGCTGAGGCCTGGGTGAGCAGTGGGTATTTCCAAACCCTCAGGAATGAGGAGGTGGACGTCTGGATTGAGAAGCTACTCCTAGCCCAGTGGCCGTGGATAGAGGAGGTGGGAGAGTGGGTTTCCCCAGGCATTTACGTTCACATTGGCTCCACATCAAATCTGCTGAGTGAACGGGGAACTAACCTGAGAAGAGAAGGGGCGGGAGAAATGCCTAGCCTCTGTAGGCCAGCCTGGGGCACAGTGTGACTCTGCTGTGCTGAGGAAGAACTCAACTGGCTCAGGGACGTGGCACCAACAGCACAGGCCAGCAGCAGGAAGACCCAGGGAGCCCATCTATCTGGACAGAAACCAGTCAGGCTTTGCTGAACAGGAGCTCCGTCCCCACCTCTCCTGACCAGCAGCAGGGAGGGACAGGTGGGGAACTGCTGAGTGCAGGACTGAGACAGGCCTCTCTCCCTAGCCTGGCTAGCCACTCACCTCGCACCCTATGGGCCATGGCTGCGGTCCCCCTGTAGGACACACACAGAAAGCGATTACCCAGCAGGGATGCCCACATCCTGAGATGACAGTTTCCTCTTCTGGCCAGCGATGGAAGGTCCAGCTCATAGCCCACCAGCCACATCCTGCCTGCACTTGGGCAACCCAGCCCTGGGACATCCTTGGACCCATGCTGAAGGTTTGAGGGGGGTCGCAAGAGAATCCCCACCATGAACACCCTCATACTGGATCTGGGCAGAGGCTATAGGTAATAAGTGTTCCAGTTACTTTCCACATCCTGGGCTGCTCCCCATTTCTAGACCTGTGGGGTGGGACTGTGGCAGAGTGTGGCAAGCCAGACCTGACCTACATCAAGAGCACAGAGTCTCAGTAGATGAAAACACGGACGATGGTGCCCCCTGGTGGCCCACAAGCAGCTTGCGGGCCCTCAGTGCCTCCACCCAGCCAGGAGGACCTAGATTCTGGAGCCAAAGCAGGAGGGCACAGGCGATCTGGAATTTTTCCATGAACTTTTTGAAGCTCCCTAATATATATGTGGTGCTATAGGATAAACACTCAGCCTCAAGGTCAGTTTGAACTACAAGGTCAGTGGTTCAAACTCACCAGCCACTCGTTGGAAACCCTGTGTCGGGTCATTATGAGTCGGAACCGACTTGACAACACTTAACAACAGTATATATATGAGGACTCCTGGTGTGGCACTGTAGGATCAGCACTGGACTGTGAACCGCAAAGTCAGGTGTTGAAACCCACCATTCGTTCCTCAGAAATCCGATACAGGGTCGCTATGGGTCGGGGAACCGATTGGAAGACACTTAACAACGACAGCCTATAGATGTGACTTCATATGTATATGAAGGAGTCCTGGTGTGGTGCTGTGGGTTAATGCACTGGACTGCAAGGTCTGTCTGAACCGCAATGAAAGTGGTTCAAACTCACCAGCTGCTCCTCAGGAACCCTAGACAGGGTCATTAGGGGTCGGAACCAACTCAATGGCACTTAACGACAAAAACAACTACATATATACGAAGGTGATCTGTACCAGGTGCAGCTGTGTGCACTCTCACCTGGTGGGGCTGAATTTGGTGGGAAGGGGCCTTCTAGGAACTCCTACTCCAAAAGGGCTTCAAAGAGCCTTAGGCACTGTTGTCTGTGTGCCCATGTTAAGAGCATTAATTTGCAAATGTACTACACTTTTATAAATGTACTACACTTTTATAACCGCCGTTGTAGAGGGCTGGCCTGCCTGCTTGCCTTAACCAGCTCATGGCCCCTCTAGGACTGTGACTTGGTGACCCAGGGGCACAGCAGAAGTACACAGCATGAAGTCTTGTGGCTCTGAACCAAATCAAGAAAGGAAGGCCCAGGGATCTGAAAATACACCAGAAGTTCCTTCTTTACCCTTGGATCCACAGTGAGCAGGTGGAGCAAGACCTCACCTAGAGAAACTGAGAGAGGATACCCAGGGCCACTGGCTTGATGCGAGCTTGTGCCTCTTCTCAGTTGTTGGGTGGCCAGCATTACTGGCAGTAAGAACCGTGTGCCCAACTCACAGGCTGGCTTGCAGAAATTCCTGGTATTTTAAGGACAGAGGAGGGAGGTGGGACTGGCCAACTTCTAGCCCCTCCTTGGCATACTCATAGAGGACTCTTTGGGGCTGAAAACAGGATGGCCAACTTGAGTTTTCCATAAATACAGCAAGCCTGGCTAGTGCTCTGTCTGTGGCTCTGACCTCCAGCCCAGAGACAACAGGTCTGCTGGATGGGCCAGGAACGTGGGCAGAAGGCGTCCAGCCTGTCCAGCCCTGGAGAGGAGCGCCACTGTTGCAGCCCGCACCCTCTAAGGGCTCCAGGCGGTGCCAGGTTCTGCATCTACACCACACTGCTCACAAAATCCTCCCCTGGCTGAGATGCTGGCTACTAGAACCCCCACAGGCAGAGAGCAACACCGAGAATCACAGAGGGCAGCACACAGCTAGGATGAGAGATGGACACAGGATCCGCTGTGCACACCATCAGCCTTCCTGGACGTGTGTGTGTGTGGGGGGGGGCGGTGTGCCTGAATCTGGGGTTGTGGGGAGAAGGGTGGGATCCCTGGGTTCCCACCCCTATAACAATCCCCATTACTAAATGTTGAAATATCTCTGGGGCATTTTTATCCAAGGTCAAAGGGCCGAGATCCACAGCGGACCCCTGTGACAAGCATCTAAACACATGCTTTGGTTCCACACCACACTCATGCTTTGGTTCCACACCTTTTGATGAAGTACTGTGGCCTTTATGCTGGGACAACAGACTGATTTATTGTTTACTGAACGCAGCAGGAGCTTGGCGGATCAATTTCAATAAAACAATGGATTCTAAGTGCCACCAGCAATCTGACAGTAACAGTAATCAACAAAACATGTTGTACTAAATGCTGCATAATAAATTGACTATAATAAACTCATCGTTATTCTACTGGCTACATTTCAAAGTTAGTACTAGAAAAATCAAAATAAAATCACCAATTTGGGTTGGCATTCACATCCGTGTGCTTCCTAAGATTGCTCTAATCACCACAGCTGTGACCAGGAGACAGGTGCAGGCATGGCCCAGGAGCCAAGGGACTGGCTGTGGGGGCATCCTCCCAATCAGGGGGCACCCCTGGAGTACAGATGGGACCCACTTCTGGAGGGGTGAGGACCCTCTTTGGGGAGGATAAAGAGAAGGGTGGAGAAACAGCCCCTGGGAGGTATGCTGAGTTCACAGAGGGGAGAATCCAATGGTTATAGGGCTCTGCAGCTGACCAAGACTATGTCCAAGGAAGCTGTAGTGGGGTTGGCTTGAGAGTCCCTAGAGTGACAAGGTGGACTCCCTTTGGGGTCACTAGCCATAGCCGACAGGGTCGGGCCTTCCAACCCTGGTCTCCACTGGAACCAAGTTTGGAGCAGCTGACCTCTCCCTGGTGGACAGAGGTGGCCCCACACTCAGGTTCCATGGCTCCTCACCTGGACATGGTACCTTCCTTGTGTCTTAGTTACCTGGTCTATAAACTGGGGGTGAGCTCCCCACCTCACTGGTGAGGAAACTGACTTAGGAAGACACACCTGGGACCAGGTATGGCAGGGGTGCGGTGGGGGGAGGAGGGGAGAAGACCTTGTCAAGGTCATGTCTGTCCTCGGCTCCTAGGACATTCCAAGAGTGTACACAGACAGCGTGTTCTGAGGGCAGTTGGGACCTAGGCCCCGTGGGCCCTGGAGACGATGGCAGGGAGAGGCAGTGCCCGTACACACTTCTATGGCAACTTCTAGCATCTTCCTCTGCTGTTCCCACCTCTCAACCTGCTGACCAGATCCCTGGAAGAGGACGCGTCAGCTAGCACGCCTCCTACTGCCATGCTTCCTCCACTCAGATGAGTAAATTGAGACTCAGGGGGAAAGCGGTGGCTGTGTTTTCCCTAGAAGGATGAGCTGGGCTCCTGCCAACAGTGGCCAGGGCCAGAATGCTCTGCCCTGTGGAAGGGAGGTCTTGGGGTTGGATAAGACACCTGCAATATGTGCTGTTTTAGGCTGGGTTCTCGAGAGAAGCAAAACCAGCAAAAGTACATAGACAACGGGGCTTCGAAAAGTTGGCGAAAAAGTGGAATTGAAACATAACTGGATCTTTCCGTGAACTTTCTGAAGCCCTCTAGTAAACACAGGTGGAACCCTGGTGGCATGGTGGACTATGCATTGGGCTGCTAACCGCAAGGTCAGCAATTTGAGTCCACCAGGTGCTCCGTGGGAGAGAGGTGAGGCTTTCTGCTCCCGTAAAGATTTACAGCCTCAAAACCCCTAGGCAGGGTCTCTAGGAGTCTGAACTGACTTAATAGTACATAGCCAGCTAGCCGGTCAATATATAGTGTTGACTCAAGGAAATGGTTCAGGCAATTGTAAAGACTGGCAAGTCTTGAATTCTTTTATCAGATGCCAGGCAGGGGCTGACAACAGGTTAGATGACAAGTTGTTGGCTCACTGGTTGCGGAAGCTGACAAATCTGAGATCAGCTGGTAAGGCGGCAGGCTGCTGGCATACAGGGTACAGAGGCTAATGAATCCCCCAGACTGCAGCCCTTGTCCTATGGGGAACCATGCCGCAGTGCCCCTTGTGTGACAGGAGGGGTTGGGGACACTCAGCCCTTGTCCTACGGGGAACCATGCCGCGGTGCCCGTTGGTCCTAGCAGAGAAGCCTGTGTCAGCCTCACTTACCACATGTCTCCGTCCCGGATGGTGCGGTCATTGGGCGCCCCAGCATGTCCATAGTGCAGCACAGCCGAGTTCTCCCCACTGTAGAGAGGGAGGGTGCTCAGTGCCCACCCTCACCCAGAAGTGCCCCAGGGGCTGCCACCACCATCCCCACTGCTAGGCAGTACTGTCCACCCTCCAGTAGAGGCCCAGGGGCATTGGAGCAGGCCTCACAGCTGAGGGGCCAAGGCACACAGTGGCCCTGGTGCCCAGCTGAACGACCCCGGGTTGGGGAGGGCGAGACTGGAAACCTTCACAACGTGGGCAGCATGTAGAAAGAAAAAGAAAGTCAGGTCCCGGAACAGAACTCCGAGGAAACCCTCTTTTCCTGGGGTCTAAGGAGGTGCCGCTAAGGGGAAGACAGGGCAGTGCCAGGGTCCCTGAGAGCGGAAGCATGCACCTCACAGTCCTGCACCCCAGGGAGCTTCTCTAACAAGGTGCCTTTAAGGAAAAAAAGGACTTTTGGGTCTGTCCAAAAGATAAAAAAAAAAAAGAAACACCACCTAGGTGTAATATTTATGGCCCCGTTTGGGAGTCTCGGGATTCATAAAAGTAGAAATAATGATTTTTCTCTCTACTCACCAGAGAAGAACATTTCTGAGGACTGAGACGTGCACATGTATTATTCATGTGCACAGGGCATGCGCAGCAGCAGAGCCACCGGGCTCCATCCTGGTGCGGCAGGGCCAGACCAGAGGGGCTGAGTTTGGGCACAGCCTGGGGGACCCCAAGGGGTGAGCTGGGAGACACCTGCTGTGGTACCTGGAGCCCTGCATGCCCACCCAGAGCCCCCACTACACAAAGGAGTAACCGCAGGCCCACAGGTGGGGTGGGGTATGCCTGAATGGTCAGGCTTCCCTGACCTCCGACCTCCCTAACCCTGGGGTCTGCAGGGCCCTATGAGGAGCAGCCTTCTCAGGGACTGACTTCCAGTCCACACCTGCAGACTTCCCAGCTGGAAACCAGATGGAAGGTCATGGCACGGGGCTCCCTCTACAGTGGGTGGGCCAAGCTGTCTCTCCTTCCCCCACTACGGAGCCCAGGGACCCTCAGCCTCTGAGCGAGCCTTCAGAGGGAAGAGCAGCTTCCAAGCTTGGGTGGCTGCACCTGGTGTGGGTATCCACACTGGGGGGAAGAGAAGGGTGGGGTCCACCCCACTGCCCTTTCCCCTCCACCCCCCACCGTCACTGCCACCTGCCAGCAAGGCAGCGTGTCCTCTTACCTGCCGCAGATGCAGGTGTAGGAGCTGTGGCGCATGCCGCCCCGGGAGTAGCAGTAGTGCTCGAAGAGGCTGCAGGAGGAAAGAGATGTGTCAGGATGAAGCCAGTGGAGCATGCACGCCATTCTCCCGACCAAGTACACAGCCTCAGCCCAGACCCCATGACGCCTGTAGTCTGGAGTCAGCTCCATAACCACAGAGGTCAGTGCGGAGGCTGGGAGCAGACTGGGTGGGAGGAGGATCCAGCAAGTTCCAGCTACCAACGGAAAGACTCACTGGCCTTGAATGTCACGGCACAGTCCCAGTCTCCCAGGCCTGAAGAGCAGGTGCCACCAGGGCAGGGGCAGAACTGGAGGAAGTGACCTCCCTGGAACTCCTGTTTCTGGAGGCCCTGGCCCACTCCACCAGGAGGGACAGGGAGGAACACAGGAGACCACCCATTCTAGCACTGCTCCTGACTCTGCCTGAGAAAGATATAGTCCAACAGAGGAGCAGAGGGCTGATCTGGAGGGACAGGCCAGGGGAATGCTGAGCCAGGTAGGTTCCAGGGGCCCAAGAGCTTCCTGGGTCAATCACATGAGCTCCCACCCTGGGCAGGGCAGGGGAAAAAGACAGGACCCTGTCAGGAGGTAGTTGGTGACCAGATTCTGGAGTCAGAACCAGGAGACCTTCCAGCAGAGCCCCAGAGTCATAGCGTGGGAAGAGCAGGTCAGAGGATGGCCCAGCTTTCGGGAAGCCCCATCACACCACCATCCCAAGGGCAGATCCTGGGTACAGCTGCAGGGGCTGGTGGACAGACCTGGGCTAGCAATGTAGAACCAGGGACATTCCCCATCCTCGTCCCCAGGACCTCTGCATGGGCCTCAAGTCCTGCCCTGGTGTCTCAGACTGAACTCAGTTGAGGAGGAAAGCAAGGTGGGGAGCTGCCCTCACCCCTGCCCCAATGCCCCAGCCCCTGCTGGGCCCTGGCTGAGAAGCAGGTTTTGGTGCATCTCACCCTGCCCACCTGCCACAAGGCAGGGACTTTGAAGTCAAGGGCTGTGCCGCTGTCTAGCCTCAGAAAGCAAACATCGCCCCATGGCGAGGAGTGGCTCTGAGCCTGCTATGGAAGATGTCCGTATGGGAGAGTTTCATCTTCCAGGCACTGTAAACACCTAACAGGACCGGACATTAGCTAACTGTCATGCAGGGAGGGGTCTGCCACAGCAGCTAGCTTTCAGGCTTGCCTTTGAAACCTCAGAGGCTCATTGGGTATAGGTGAGTAAGAGATTTCCTCAGCACAAAGGATTCCAGAGCCTGTCAGAGAGGCGAGAACAGCCACACACTCCCCCTGCCAGCTGCCCCTAAACTAAAACTGCTGACACCAACTCCCGCCTCAATCCCTGGAGGCCAGAGGAGTGAGACCCAGATCACTGCAACAAGGGTCCAGGAACAGCCGACAGGGGCCAACAGAGGGGGGTGGGGTCCAGCGTTCCCTTCAGCACCTGTGGCAGCTTCACAAACCTGTTCTGTGGCTCCTTTGCTCCCGCCCCTAAGACCAGAGCCTCAGCCATCAGACCCCCCTCCCCCACCCAGAGCAAGCCCGCTCTTGAGAGATGCTGGGAACAAGCCACTAAGCTGTGGGGCTCTGACAGCTTTGCCCTGCTCCAAGTGGCCATTCTCCAGGGGGTGTGGACAGCCTAGCTAGGCTAGGGTGATGGCTCAGCCAGGACACACACACCAGGAACACAGGCTTCATAGAGACCAGGCCTGGGGACGGTAGTGCCATCAGTGGGTGTAGATGAGTCCACAAAGCACATCTGTTGAGAACGAGGCGGCTGCACGGGGGTTGCAGAAGGTAGTTTAGTCCCCCCGCCTGCAGCTCACCTCCAAAGGCAGTATCTGCGAGGCAGAGACAACTTCATCTAGGTCATGGTTTCCGTTTAAAAAAAAAGAGTAATGTTGAGTAAGAGGCGCAGTGTATAAAAGCGCACAACGGAGGAAACCATGACCCAGCTTTCACCGGCGAATTGCAGCCCAATGCTGGGTTGCTGCTGTCAGCCCCGCAGACAATTCTTCACACCCATAAAGGGAGGGCTGAAGAGACGTGGGGCACGACACATACTGGAAACCCACTCTCGCCCGAGGGGGCTGAGAATCCTGGGAAATTGGACTTAAGCACCTCATTTTGTTTTAACTGATCTTCCCTGAAACAATGTGAGAACAAACTGCTACACACAGCAGTGAGACCCAGGTTTCCTGCTCGCATGTACCTGAGCTGGGAACATGGGCACACTCGAGGTCTGGGGCCAGTGAGGAGCACACCTTAAATTTTCATGGGCTGGGGGCTGAGGAGAAGCCCTGGTGGTGCGGTGGGTTAAGCACCAGACTGCTAGCCCACCAGCTTCTCCATGGGTAAAAGATGTAGCAGGCTGTTTCTGTGAAGTTTTAACTCTTGGAAACCCTCTGGGGAGGTCCTACTGTCTGATAGGGATGCTAGAGTTCGGATCGACTTGTTGACAGTGGATTTTTGGGGGGTCTGGGTGGGACTGAGGAGTAGATACTACAAATTGGGCCACGTGCTTGGCACGAGGTTCCAGCACTGCTAGGGGGAGCTCAGAGAGCGGAGCGGGACCACCAGACAACAGACCATAATGACAACAGACTGCAGCTGTCCCAGGGGTTTCCCATCTGACCACGGAACAAGTCTGCATTTAACAAAGATGCCTCCGTCCTACCAGTGATACTGTTGGGTTAGCACTGGATCGAGAACCCCAAGGTCAGCAGTTCAAATCCACCAGCCACTCTGTGGCTTTCTGCTCCTGTGAAGACTTACAGCTACAGAAACACTACAGAGGGTAGCTATGAATCGGAATCGACTCAGTGGCAATGAGTTTTGGTCATACTTCTATGTTAGGAGCCATGTTAGTACAGTGGCTAATGCACTTCATGGAAATAAAGCCAACATGGGCTTCATAACCCGAGGGGAGCTAGCTACTGATGGAGCAAAGTCTGTGAGCTACCAGCCAGCCCTGGGACAGGGACTAAGATGATGGTGGATTACCCAGACCGAAACCCTCCTGCCTCAAACATTTAGGGGTGCAGCATAAATTCTAATAAATGGAGCTGCGTTCATAAGAAAAGGAGGAAGCTGAGGTCAGAGAGGAAAAGGAAGTCTTGGGAACCTACAGTCCTTGGCTTGAACGGGCTCTTTGGGGGCAGGTGACAAGCCTTGGTCATGTGGAAGGTAGAGGCTGGTGGGTTTGAACTAACAACCTTGTGGTTAGCAGTCCAATGTTTATACTATAGCGTCACACCAAGAGAAAAGAAAAGAATACACAGATTTTAACAAGAACCAAATAAAACCTCTAGAAATGAGAAAGCATCCATTAGAGGAGGGGAGAAAAAGTAAGACAAAGCAGAGTGTCACTCAGTGACCCACCGCCAGCTGCTCTTACAATCAATCTGGAACTCTCGGGGTACTCTAAGGCGCATGTCTGACCTAGTCACCTCTGCTCCCTCCGGCTCACCCTGGAAGGTCGACAGAACACCAGGCCCGGGTCCCACTGCCTCCCCCACTGTGCCAGCCCACCAGCCCCACAAACATGTCTGCTATTCTGCAATCCCTGAAGCTCTTACCACATCTCCTCTCCTTTAATAAACGCCCTTCTGATGAACCCCTCCCAAGCAAGCAAGACTCCGCTAGAAAATACTTTGCATCCCGGCATAAATGAGAACTTTAAAGCAACCTGGGAGAACTTGTGCTGTGAATAACGAGCTGGAGAGACTTACTGCAGCAACATACGGGGCAGACCCATTTGTCAGTGCACGGAAAAGACTAATGGACAAAGGTAGCCAACTCTAATGCCCAGATCTGCGTGAACGGCATCTGCAGGGACAATCTCACTGGGCCTCTCCCAGGGTCTGGCAGATCCACCTATGGGGGCATTCCTGGGCATACAGCCCAGCTCCTGACCTAAGGGTGTTACCATCTCCCGAGGAGATAAACCACAGCCCTACACAACCACAATTAGCTGCCCACAATAACGGCAGAGGGCTGCCCTGGCAACCGTAGCATAGGTCTGAATGGGGTCAGGAAGGTTGCCTTGCATGTCACTCCCACTTACTAAGTCACCTCAAAGGTGCTCAGGTTCCCAAAAGGTGGCCCAGCTCAGGAAGTCACACAGTAGGACAGAGCATGGAAGGGAAAACAAGTGGCTTTGTGGGTCTGAACCGCCAATCTTGCAGTCACAGTGCTTAGCCTACAGCGCCACACCAGGACTCCACTCCACTAAATTCAGTTGACTTATCCCTGCCAAGAGCCCTTTCACTCCTATCCTATAAGATAAGTCCAGCTGTGTGTGAGGAGTCACTGTCTGAGATGCTGCCTGGGGCGGCACCTGGGGCCGAGATTTATAAGACAACAATTGCAGAATGTTCTCAGGCCCCATTCTATCATGCATTTTAACTTCCAGACCTATAACTTCAGCCTCATCGAGCCCCCAAAAGTTGAAGTACGGAGTGTGACCCATATAAGGAGGTACACTCCAAAAGGACTGTTGGACTTCTCTAATATGTACAAACAGAAGCCTGGGGAAGATGGGTGGGTCTGGGATAATGATGAAAGGAACATAAAGCTGGATCATTCTGGTATGGGCCACTAAGCACATATTTTTCATTCCATGTTTTCAGCTTGAGAGGTTAGAAAAGGATCTAATCGTTTATTTGGTGGACTCACTGAAGCGTGAATTACGCAGTGGCCTGCACTAAATCAAACTGCAATACCAGACCTGCCTTGCTATACTGTAGAAGAGAGTAGATAAAGGCTTCCGGACACGGGCATGTTCGAGTGGACTGATCAGGTTAGACCCACACACCTTTTACCCATAAAGAACATGCCCTTTACTACAAAATGGCAAAGCACCAATCTGTGAAGAGTCCCAACATCCTTGAAGCCTGCTGTGAGTGATATTGTATGGAAGTCAGGTTTGACAGGAAGGACCGTCCTAACTGAATCAAGATACCTAACTACAATGGGGTTGATTGGACCCCAAAGTGGTAGAGCCAGGTGGCGTCATGTAATTGACAAAGAC